GGCCTTTTCCAATTCGGAACCAATGGCCTTTCAATGCGTAATTGATCAAAAGCACCGAAGCTCCTTCTGGGCAATTTGTCCCAATTGCTGCCCTTCATTCTCTTTCATTTACCTTGGCGTTCAGTCAATAGTATAGTTTTATGCAAGAAACAGATCTGACTGTCAATGGTGGCAAGCAAATGACTGAGATTGTCTATTTTTAGCGTGGGGGAATGAATATTAAAATTGCAGAATGTGCTTCTATCAGTTCTCCTCACGTAATAGCGAGTGCCAGAGGCTCAAAACAATAAACTGGCCCCTGCTTGTATTTACTACGTCGAACTAAACTTCGAGGAGCCTTTGATAGTGTCACGATGCAAGCTTTTGCTTGAAGCTGCATACAATTTTCAATTGACTTGTAAAGACTTACGAATGCCCCTAACTTAACAAGCATGTGTTCTTTGACTTAACAACCAGAGTTTGTAAAATGTTACTGTTGGTTTTATAAGTTCCTCCGCGTTCAAACTGTAGATCACTTGACTACCTGGTTCACATGATTGGAGGTCGGTTCTCTCGGGCTTCTTTTCGATTATCTGGTTTATTTGACGCAAATCATAGTTCACAATTCAATATTCACAACTCCGGGGCCTTTAAACACAGAAGCTATGGGTTAAAAGGGGAGTCATCCTCATGTTGCTGATGCTTCCTAGACGTGCCGCATTCTCCTTAATTTGGCTTATTGATTTGGGTGCACGTCCTTAGCGTGCTTTCTGCTCAACAAGAATTCCGAAAATCCAAAACAAAGGGGCCATGTCGGTTGTTTTCAGTTTTGACTCAGTTTAGAAATTCTGAAAATTCACAACGGAACGCCCACAAATTGTAAATTCACTCCAGGGAGTCCTAGCAAAACCAATGTTTTGTGTGATTTCCATCGTGGTTGAGCTTGAAAAATGCCCAATTATCAAAACCTCAGAATCGGATTTGTCTCAACAATTTGTACCCAAATCGAATCTTCTGGAAAGCAACCCCCCCAAGCCCTGCTCTCCTGGACTTGAGAATCGGCTTGCTGAGGTCCGTGCCTGAGCAGGATGAAAACACAGCGAAAAACGGTGGATCAAGGAGGGGAGGGGGAGAGCCACATAGGGTACCACATATATATATATATAATATGTATGAATGAATGTATGTATGTATGCCTATATATCTACATATGTATATGTATATGTGTCACTTTTTCTGTATGTGCGCATGAAGTATAGCATGGCTCATGTTGCGGTCGTGCTTCGGTCGGTAAAAGCAGGCCTGCGCATGAAGCAAAGCATGGCGCTTTTCAATGTAGAAAAGAAAGCAGGCTACACATGAAGTGCCAGCATGGTTCATCACCTTAACTCAACGATGTGATCTTCTTGTGGGGGGACCATACGCCGTGCTCTTCTGATTGCTGTCTTCAAAGTATGGGTTTAGGGATGAACAAGGAGAAGCAGACTGAGCGAAGCGAAGGTCATTCCCACTTTCCAGCAGTGGCGCAACGCACGGCTGGCGCCGCCCGAGAGACCGCGGCCTCCCGTGATCTCGCTGCTGTAAAAAAGAGATGTCAAAGAGAGAGAGAGAGAGAGAGAGAGAGAGAGAGAGAAAAAAAAAAAAACAAACAAATTCGAGACATTCCCGGAGAGGGACAACAGTGGGGAGGTCCAATGTGGCCACAGCAGGTGAGTTGAAATCGCCAGATGCGGGAGCGGGGCGCGCAATGAAAGAAAGAAAGAAAGAAAGAAAGAAAGAAAAAAAGAAAGAAAGAAAGAAAGAAAGAAATACAAGAATAAAAAAAGAAAGAAATTGAAAGAATGAAAGAAAGAAAGACAGAAACAACCGAAAACAAAGAACACAGAACAAGCGCAAGAACGGAGAAGAGAAAAGAACGACGAACGTGGACATTTTAAGTTGGATATCATCAGGTATTTTCGGGCCTGAAGGTTGCACCTGGTTATGTGTGCAGTCGGAGCTTAAGGATGCTTACAAGGATGCTTACAAGGATGCTTACAAGGATGCTGACAAGGATGCTGAAGGCTTCGCATCTTTAAGTACATGCTAGACAAAAAGCACCCTGAAGCATCTGGAAGCCCTCTCGTTTCCCGAGTCGAGGCTCCGCACAGCTCACTGCGCCCAGTGGGTGCGAGCCTCAAAAGCCCAATGGGCCAGGGCGAGGGCCAAAAGCTTTTGGCTTAGGTCTTAGGGTGCGTAGGGAGATTCCGCAGCCTCGCAGGGGAGCCGAAACAAGACCAAGACCATCGAAGACCCAGGCCAAGGTCCTGCCAGAGGTATCCACAACAGCTCTCGGCCCCTTGCGGGCCCAGCCCTGGGCCCTTGGACCCGTGGACACTGGCATGATCTCATCTGCCATGCACTTTTTCACGATTGGACCGCCGCAGCTGGGGTTAAAGAATATCCCGTATTGAGAACATCTTCCCAAGCCGGTATTGAGCTTGCAAAATGTTAGACAACGCAAATCGACCCGAGGCCGGCGCAGCAGGAGCTCCTCCGCGAGACGCTGCGTCGCGCAGGCACCGCGCCTGCGGAAATCGCCAGGGCCTGGGCATCGCCTGAACGGTTGGAACGGGGTTGCTACGGTATTTCTTGTCAAATTGGAAATTGCTGAGCTTCGGCGTGGAGTTCCGTGAGTTCTGTTTTGCTTAATCATCGGGCCCCTCTTGCATCACCGCCTGAGGCGGCATCCGAGTGCCAGGCCGAGTGGTTCCTGCTTACCTTGGGGAGTCATTGCCAGTACGTTGCCAAAACAGGAACTGTTGTGGTCTCCCTCAGAAAAACGAGGAACATGAACCACAATCTTGGTGACTCCTGAGCTTCGTATCGGGCCCCGGAGCCCCAGCTCCCGTCAATGAATAGGTCCTGTGATACGCTGCGCTGCATGAACGACAGCGGTGTTCAGCGGTTACAAACTAAATCATGCCACGTCGTTACGAGTTGTTCTGAATTGCTAGCAAGTAACATGTGGCATAAGGAGCAAACATTTTGCTTCTCGTCTGTGCTCTGCAAGCTAATAGTCTAACAGCTCCGGCGCCGTGCCGGGATCCGATGGAGCTCCAGCGCCTCACCGGGGCTCTAGGGGAATTACTGTAGAGGACTGAGTGAGGTCCGCTTTCGCCTGGGTGCACATCGGTGTGATGCTCACATCGGTGTGATGAACGTCGTGGACGAACCCTCCGAACCACGGCTATGGGGCAATTCCTTCCGCTGACTGCAGCTGATGTGTCGTGGACTAGCCGAAGGGATTTTGGACGCTGCGTCTGGGGTGGTGATGGCAATGTGGGACACTGGGCTGGCATCGCCCTGTGTGTAGCTGATCTGCCTTGCCTGGGCTCGGAATCGGAACTCGGAACGGCTTTGCAAGATAAGTATCATCAGACCCCGTTCGCGGTTGAAACCACGTGTTCTGCTTTGAGCGTGAACTTGGCAAGTTCGATCCATTGGCAAGGACACCAAAATTATTTTACTTCGAACATCCCCACCCTCTCTGGGTAGAGATACTCTGGGGTTGAGGACACCAAAACAAAAGCTTGTGTTATAGAATCGCTCCCATATCTTTACGTCCATACTGTTTGAGGTTGTTACCGGCACTCGTTTTTCTTTGGGATCGAACAGCAGCTGTAATTAATCATGATCGTCGTCACAACGGTTTTTTTCGGGGTCTTGGGTTTCAGGGGCTGCCACACTCTCCGAAGGCTTACGAAAGGGGAATCACCGAGATCAACGAGACAACATGGCTGTCGGTGTTTCACAGCACTCGTCATGGGTTCTTGGGCCATCCATGGGTTCGAAACCCGCGGCCGAAATTCTCGGTCCATGTGTTGCACAAGTCAATCCTGTCAATCCGCCCTTGACTTGGGAACCCTTGTGGCCTTTCGCTGCGAGGCGAATGGCTCTCAGTTGGGGGATCCCATCGAGCCGGGAGCTCTCAGCCTTCTTCGGATTTCGGGCATTTAGGGGCGACTGCAGCTATTTAAGGGATGGAACTTTCTCGAGCCCCGAAACCGTGACCATCCTCAGCATGAAGGACAGGTGCCATCGACAAGGTCCAACGAGAACAGCCGCGTGCAGGCGAGACACTCAGCCCCTTCCGGGCCTTTAGCACCCTTCCTCCTCGCTCTGTGGGTGATGGTCGGCTCAGGGTTTAAGATTTGGGTGTTGAACGTTTAGGGTTTTAGGGCTCAGAGCTATAGGATGTTGGGGCAACATTGTTTGCTTTGCCCCTTACCCCTGGAGGTGGGTGTGGGGTGGGGGGGGGTGGTTGTGGTGTTGCATGTGCTCCGACTTGGTGGGTTGCATATTTTGGCTTTGTCCTTGCCACAGGCCGCAAGACATTAGTTGAATGCTTCCCACAGTGGACCTCCCGTCAACCCTCAAGCAGAAAAAACCTATAACCTCAATGAACCCTAAAAACTGCGCAAAACTGGTCTCAGGACCTCTGGTGCTCATGTCTGGCAAGTGCAACAAGGGCCACGGCGGTGCGCCCAGCGCTTGCCCTGCGCAAAACCCTGACCCATGGGTTTGCACCCAGGCCTAGCAACTACGTAGCAACTTGTCATAGCAGTCGCGTAGCAACTCTCCATAAATGGCCCGTCACCGATTGAGTTTGAATCCCCTCCATCTCTGCTCCGCCTTCGTAACTGAAAAGGTTCTGAAACCCGTTTTGACCCGACCGGCCTGAGGCGAGGGTGTGGCGGGCGTGACCTCCTTGCTGAAAGCCGTCTTCTTCCTGAAGGAAAGGGTACACTGCGTTTGCAGGTATGGAGTTTGGGTAAGTTTGGGGTTTTGGTTCCATGGCTTGCCCACAGCAAACTCAGCTCAACCACGCACATCTTGTACCCAGGAATGATCAGCAAATTCTTTTCGCAAGGGAAGTCTTTGAAGTGACTTAGACTGGAGGTCGCCCGCCGTTGCCGACTTGTGTTCAGCCTTGTGGTTCAACACGAGCGGCCATCACCTCTGGAACTCCCATAGCTGCCATGGCTGTGATGCTTGAGGAGTTGAGGCGGGCAACCCTCACACTTCTAGGAACCGTGACCTAGGACCTGTAAGCTCTGGAAAGACAAATCACGAGTGACACGAACGATATCATGGTATTGCAAAAGCCTGTACAGGTTCTTCGGGGGTTATGGTCGTTTTTGTCAGAGGGGCTTCGTAAGGGGAGCTTTTGAAGACGTCCAACAAGCTGACAGGCGTTCTCCTTCTCCTCTTCTGCTCCTCCTCCCGTCCCTTCTGTCCCTTCAGGCGTGTTCCCCAGGAGCCCGCGTACGTGGTGACGGGCCTGACGGGCTTGGAGCTGTGGGGAAGCTCCCAGGCTGGAGCGCTCCCGCGAAACATCGTGAAACTCCCTTAGAGTGCGAAGTAGAGCTCGTCTCCTTTCACAATGGCATTACCTGAGAGTTTTGGCTTGTGCTTCGCTCGTTTTCGCTCTTTTCGCCCTTCGGTTTAGTAAAAGGATTGGGTATAAGTATAAGTATAACAGTAAAAGCTTTGGAAAAGCTGGAAAGCCCCGACGAGATGCAGGACAGCATGCCGTGGAAGATCGACTTGTCCATGACCTCCACCCGCGCTGCTTCTGAGGTGTCATCTGATGCGCCTCGGAATTTCTTGGTTTGGAGATTCAGTGGAAGATCCTCCATGCCCTACATGCAACCTCGAAGGCCCTCAGAAAGACTGCAAGTTCTCAAGCCATCAGCTCGGCCCTTCACGGTGCTTTTTGGTCGTGTGCCACTGAGGTGTCTGCCGAAACGGCAGTTCCCACGGAAGGCTCAGCCCGTCGCTTTGGTAGAGACGCGGAGAGTTCGGCGTTCGGTTTCGAGATTTGAGCGCCAGGAAGCCACGGGCATCCAGAGCTCTGCTCCTTGGTGAGCAACTGCACCATCCGTTTATTCCGTTTATTCCGTCTGTCAGTTCTGCATGTTGCATCAGCTGTCCCTTCCTTCTTTCATTCGTGCGAGGTGCGGTGCCATGTAGTCATGTAGCCTACGTGAAACCTACTCACACATGATCTGACTGTGAAGGGTCCAACCTGCATGTCTCCCTTAGGCCATCGGCCATGCCTTTACTTCGCTCGAGGCAATTGTCAGAGCGGCTGCCGGGTATGCAAGGTTTTGGGAGGTTTTGGGGCAGAACGGGCCAGTTGCAAGGCTCGCGCTGATTTGGTCGTGTCTTAAGGGAAGCTAATCGGACCAAACCCAAGGCTGCTTATGAAGTTGCGGAATAGACTCCCGCCAGGGAAAAGGGGGAGGCCTCTCTTAAAGCCGACAATCGGGACCCGAAATACCAGAAGTTCAGAAGCAACTTCTTAAACTTAAATTGTGGGTTGCGCGGTTCTTCAGGTCGCAGAAAAAAGGGCATCCTTGGTGAACACAGTGCCCTGTGCTTTCAGGCGTTGCAGTTGAGTCCCTACTAAGCAACATTGCAGCGGCAGTGCAGCTGTTCCAACCGCATCTTTGCCCGAGGCTATGAATGTCGCTACTGTCACTTGTCGCACGAGGAAAGGCCGATCGTCTTGGAGACTCGGCGCAAGATCCAACCCATTCCAACCACCCCAAGCCGCCAAGCCTGAAATGTCCGAAGCCCAGACTCTCCAAGGACAAGAGCCAGCGAGAGGCTGCCCGACTGCTTTCCAAAGCCCAGATGTGCCCCGGCCTTGCAGACTCAGGGGTGGCGGAGGGGTGTTGGGTTTGTGGGCTTTGTGGGCTGTTTGGCTTCTTTCTACGAACTTGTATGCGCCGAAAGCAGTGACAAGAGGCTGTCACTCTTGGTCCCCCACCTGAGCCGCGTGGCGGAGGAGAAGGGCCTCACGGACAAAGTCACAGCGACCCGGCCTCTGACTGGAGTGAAGTCGCCTAGGGCCCCTTCATGCTGCTCTACCGTCTACCTGGAGTCTGCCCGTACATTCGCTGAACTGCGCTCAGCCGTGGATTGGATGGGTTTGGGCCGAGGCTTGGGATTTGGGGCAATGCCACAAGCCGAGGAAATACTCCTCTTCGCTTCCCAGCAGCTGATAGACGCTGGGAGCCCGGAGCCCGCAACCGCGAAGCTCGAGCAACCCGCCTGCAATGAAGCTACAAGGCTTCAGGGCGAAGCGCAGTAGCGTAGGAAGGAAGTTTCGGGAGAGCTTCTTCTGCAAGAGCAAAGGCAAAGAGGGGGCCGGAAGCAGGGCCATAGGAGTTTCAGCTATTCGTATGCGGCAATCGGTCAACATCCTGAAGTCGCGATACTATCGGAAATCCTGGAATGCCAACAGACGATCCGAAACAGGGCAGTCGCCAAAAACGCCCTCAACCCATCTCAAATGCTCCGCCGAGGCGCAAGCTCCGAAAGGCCTTTGGGGACCTGGGCTGTGGAGACAAAGCGCGTAGAGGAAGCGCAAGGCTTTGCGGAAGTTTTGGACTGGACTTGGGGAACCTATGAACATCTATGAACACACTACAAACCACGTGGAACCTATGGTTGTCTTGAACATTTTCAACGTAGCCAAGAAGCGAGGCGGTGTTCCTTCCCCAAAACCCTCAGCTGAAGGCACGAGGTTCTGTTTCTTGAGGAGGGGAAATCCCAAGACCCGGAGGCACTTCGCAAGATGAGTTTCTCCGGCTTGCTCGGGCTGCTGCGTCAGACCCTGTCAGAAGGCTACTCCGGTGCGGTTGAGTTGAGTGATGCTTGGGCCTGCTTGGGCCTGCTTGGGCCACAATTTGAACTAAAGTCCAAGTGTTCAGGTCCCCAAGGTCCACAAGCAAGAGCCGAAGAGGCCAATGTGCGTGTGTGCAAATTGTGCGCCCAGGCGAGGCGGCGTGCCTTTCCAAGGCTGTAGAAGTTGCCCGCGTGGCGTTGACGGGAACGCCCAGCCAGAAGCTGCTCGAGTGCATCATACAGTAGCACAGGATGGGGAATCATGGCCTGCTGCGCCCTAGAGGTGCCATAAAGGCTTGGGTTTCAAAATAAAAAATGGCTGTTCGTCTGTTTGTGAGTCCCAAGTCTACCAGCCCACCCCGAAGCTATCCGAAACTCTACGCCCATGATGGGTTGTGGCCGAGGCGTTCGTTTTGGCTCTGAGATGGCAGCTGCCTCAAGCCAAGAAGCTTGCGCCGAAGAATGGCGAAGAAGGAGGCTTCTCTGAGCAGACCGAAGCAGGGTTTTTGCGGAGTGTTGAGCCAGTCAGGTTGTTCGATGTCAACTGTGCCCGTCTCAGACCAGCTTCTTTTTTCGCTGGGAGGTAACAAGGAAGTGGTGTCAATGCCTGATAAAGTCCGCCCTTATCAGCCAAGCCTGTTTGCAGCCAAAACAATTTTACCTTATGCAGAGGATGCAGACCTGAAGGAACTGGCTCGTCCGGGACGTAATGTCCAGCACGGCACCACACTTGCAAAGGACCTACCGGCGCCCGGGGCTCCCGCGGCCCCACAATACATGGCACACGTCACGTGCAGGCTTTCGGGATCTTTCGGGGAAGGGGGAGCCCTGCAATTCAGCAGCGCCCCGACTAACGCTGACTACTTTGCGACTTCTTTGATATTATGCTGCGATGCGCACGCCGTGGCCAGCTTTGGCACCTCTGGGAGGAGCACGCTTGAACTCAAAGGGCTGCCTTTCCGGGTTGCTTCAGCGGGGTCCGGCTCTTTAAACTGCCGGCAAAAGTTGCGCCGTCGCTAAGGCTGCACGAGACCTCCGGTCAGGCCTTCCAAAAGTTCTAAGACTTCTAAGATTCTAAACATTGTTCTATGTTGTTCAGGGCAAGCCCGACGAAGAATTCCTTCAGTCCATCAAGTTTATGCATTCAGTATGCATCGTGCAAGAGGTCAGGATGTGTTTTGTGCGGTTCCTTGTGCCGGTCCTTGCAGTTAGCATGTGCTCTGAAGGTGGATAAGCGCAGCTTGTGATGACCTAGTCTCATGCAACCTCTTGATTTTTCTATTGCCTGCATGCCGCTGTTTGGCCCTTGCTGCTCTGAGTGGCTGGCTCCTGATGCCTCGTGGCTTTCATCCTTCGCAAGCGAGCTGGTCAGGGCGACAGCGTAAATCGGGGCATCAGCAGTGCAAGCGCCACGGTGGCGCAGGCGAGCCCGTGAAATTCGCAGGGCAGATCCACATCTTGGGAGAATCTTTTGTATTGTGCTCGGCGTTCTCGAAGATGGCCCATTCCGGGCCCATCTTTTCAGCCCCCAGTATATGTGATTCAAAGTCTTCGGGAGCCTTGGCCTCTTGCTGCAAGGGCATGGCATCTGCCTGGGTCCCTTCGCACATACTGACGGTGCTTCTGCATAAGCAGTGGTGCCGTGCGTCGAATGTTTTCTGGGGAGAGGGGTCAAGCAATGTAAACGGATCAAAACAGCAAATGCCTTCAACCAAGCCGACTGAAGAAGGGAACTCGCCAGAACACACAGGTTTTCATATTCCCGCATCCATTTTGTTTTGGAAGCTCTGATAGTTGATGGTATTGCCTCGTCCGCTTCTGTATGAATGGCGCACTGTAGCCTTTCTGGGCTGGGTGGTGTCAAAGTTGACTGAACGTGACATTGGGACATGAGGCTTCGCAACTAGAGTTAACATAGAAAGCATAGGAAAGTATTGTTGGGCGGGGGGGGGGGGGGGGGGGTTTTACAATCCATAAACTTATATACATATTTACATATATACATATATACATATGTACATATGTACATATGTACATATGTACATATGTACATATATACATATATACATATATACATATATACATATATACATATATACATATGTACATATGTACATATATACATATATACATATATACATATATACATATATACACATATACATATATACATATATACATATACACATACAGACATATATACATATATACATAAATACATAAATACATAAATACATATGTACATATATACATATATACATATATATGTTTGTAGATCTTCTATATATATATATGCAAAAATTATATATCTTATAAAAACTAATACAAAAAATGAAAACAATAACTATAATAATCGTAATAGCAATAATATTAGTAGTAATAGTTAACAATAATAAGAACAATATTAATAATAACAATAATAATTATAATTATGACGATTATTAGTTTGTTCTTTTCTCCCCTCTCTCCCCTCGCCCTTGCTTGCTGTGCTGGATGCGCCGTGCGCTTTCCATGGAAGGCTGAGCCCAGCAAATTGAGCCCTGCACCAAGGGAGATGCGGAGAACGCGGACATCAGACCTGCAGGTCCTCGAAAAGAGGTGCCTCCAAAACCCAGGCTCTGAGGCTTAAACCCCTGAGTCTGAGCCCTTCAAGTCCTTGAATCCCGTCCCGGAAGAGAGCCGCGGTCCCCATCTCCGAGGAGATGCTGGGTAGAGTTGTCCCGTTCTGTCCTCGAGCAGACGGGGTTTTAAATTGTGTTTAGGGTTAGGTTTACTGGCCAAGGATGGGGGTTTAGGCTCGGCCGTTGAAGGCTTCAGAACTTGAGACGTGCTGCACACTTGATAGCGGTGTGGCCACCATGGTCTTAGCTGCACTTGTGTGTCGGAGGGCCGCAGAAGCCAAAATATTCCGAGGCAGGGGCGGCAGGGGTTTAAGTCATGGAATTCAGGGTTGGGGATCATTCTGACGGTTGAGGATCGAGGGTTCGGTATTTGGGGATACCGAATGAGAATGCGAATAGGTTGTGTTTGCCTCATCTGGAACGGCTCCAGACTCGACTTCGCTTGATGTCACGGCTTCTTTCTGATCAGAACACCGCAAGCGCCGAAGGGTCCACCATGACCTCGGTAGCTTCTGGTTTGACTTCTTGACAGCGATGGTTCGCTCAGGAGTTGCTGTACTGCTGTGTTGTGGGGGTCTGGCTATCTCTGCGTGTTTGCGGGCGTCCCATGCGTCGCTGAGCCGTTGCTTTGCAACAATTTTCCTACAGCCTGGTTCGGCCACCTGCGGCTAGTTTACCTGGCCCACCAAACCTTGAGGAATTCATGGGCATTAGCTTTTAGTCACCAGGTGGAAGAAATCAGGAGGCCTCAAGATCTTTTGGTGTCTCCCGGACGCTGAAAGCGTACAGCTCCCGCACTCCTTTGCGAGCATCACCAAGGTTATTTAGGCAGGATAGCTTTCAAGGCTCACAAACTCATAAAGCTAGAAGGGTTCGGGGCGCTGGGGTTCCCTGGGCTTGCATCACCCACTCGAAAACTTGGAGTGAAGGGGAGGTATATTCGGAAGCTTTGGGGTTGCAAAGGCTTCTGCGTCTGGAGGGTTGGGGGATTAGGATGGTTTGGTGCATTGTCTGGTGCAGCATCCTTCAGATGAAGGAGGTCACTGAGGCCTCAGTAGGGATAAAGAGGGAATCGGCCGATAGGGGGGAAACATGGCATGTGGTCAAGGGTGTCTGCAATTGCAGTCTCGAAAAGGTACGTTGACCTCGGCGGTGTCTCCCATAAGAGGGAAACGCCATCGCGGAAGAACGTGGAAGGTCATTGTGCAATGCCGCAGTGCAGAGGGCTGCAGGCACAAATTTGCAAGAGAAGCTCTTAGTGGCCCAACGCGCGCTGTTCTCATCAGGGTCTTGCGCGAGGACGTTGCGCACGACCACTTAAGTGTCAATATCAACATCTCTTCGACCCTGTGTGCCTATTGTGCCTGAAGCCATGTGGCATAGGCCCATTGAAGGGCCAATTTCTGACCCCGGCAACCGAAGCGGGCGTCTGTTTGGCTTCGCTGATGGCAAAGCTGTGATATGCCGTGATATGCCGTGATCTAAGTAATGAGGGGCGAAGGAGTCTTCTATGAAGAAGAAGAAGGGGAAAAATAATGAAGATGCTTGACACATATTCAGGAATACTCCGCAAAAGCTCGAAACATCTCAAAATCCTGACTTCTAGACTCAATGCCTACAGCGGCCTCGGCATGGCGAAGCTCTACACGTAGCCGTCGGTTGGGGGAGTGGGTCGGGGCACTTGACCAGACAACCGATCCCTGCACTTCTCTCTTGTCACTACGGCAGTCACATGCGGTCACCCTACGGCTTTGAATGGGCAAGAGTTGTGTTTCCTGACCATATACCCTGTGTTTGCTCCCGCGAAGTCTGTGCACTTTCGCAACCTGAGAAGCATCACGGCTGGAGCAAAAACACAAGGTGAAGGTCTCGGTCCCTGCACCCCATGGCTCGGATGTGGTCGGACTTGTTCAGTTCGAAGTTGTCTTTGGTCCCACGGGCCCTCTTTGAGTCGCAGACTCTCGGGTTCAGCAATGCTTTCCCGCAAAGATCCGAAAACACGTCGCAACCCAACAATCCAATCCTGAAGAGGAGAGGCTGATAGCGCCCCAGGTCCACTTCGCGCGTCGGCAACTCAGTGGGGTCTAGGAACCCTCCTTTACAGTTCGGATTTTTAGGCTTGCTGGCGGTTTAGGAACTTCCGTGAGGCTTGAACACCCACGTGGATGTGGAGCTGGTGCCGGAGCTCTTGGTGGCTGTCAGTGAACTGTTAGTGCCAGTGAAGTGGCTGCAGGGAGTTGCCCTACAGCCTTGCCAACGCAAGGCCGGGCCTCTTCTGTGGCGAACGGACGCTGGCGCCATGACCCCATCATACCCCACTGCTCAGTTGATTCAGCGTTGTGCTTCAGAGCATCTCAGACTTTGGATTTCGCTTCTCGTGGCTCAGCTGCTCTCTAACGCATTTCACGCCCCACTGTTGGAGTCCTCTTCTGCCGTTCTCCGAAATCCTCGTGTGCACGGTTGCAAGGCCTGAGCGGCACGAGAAGGCCACGCGGGCAGCGGGACGACTGCTGAAGGTTTAGGTGCGACAGGCGACAATGGAGCCCAGACTCTGAACCCTCGGCTCCCGAGTCGGCCCCCGAATCGGAGGCCAGCGCCTCCTCCTTCGGCTTCCGGGGCATGAGTTCAGCAACGCTGTCTTTCTTTCACTTTCCGGAGGCTTCATAGGACCGGTGTCAAGGCGCTTGCAAGGGTTTCGGCCCGTGGGGTCCAGCAGGCAGCTCGGTGGAGGGGGGGGGGGGGGGGGCCAAGTCCGCCGCATTTGCGAGCGGGCACAAGTCCGCCGCATTTGCGAGCGGGCAC